AAATTTCAGGTTCAATAGATTTCAATCGTATCTTTTGGGTTCCAAACAGCCATAATGTTTGGATGTGTTTGGATTTGTTTGGGGTTCAACAAAAAAGTGCTAAAATGGCCATTCCATGCCACACACTGTGAATGATTTGTGCCCTCTTTGAGGCCGCCAAGAACTGAGGCTCGGCTGGACCTTTGCAACAAGTACTTCAGTGGACTTGGAAAAGGCCAGAGATATCCAGAGATGGAGCGGCGCTGATAGTGTTGTTAATGCAGTTTTTTATTCAGTGTCACTGGTTTGCACCAGTTGAAAACGGTGATTTATCCCACTATAGGCTTGAAAAACTCCAAGCTGGTGCAGGATCTCGCAACCATCCACAGTATGATCCACTGTTTCGTTGATGTGTTTTTTCCCATTCTGCAAGCACACATCGGATGGATTTGGCCGCAGGTCTCAAAGACGCGCACAATCAGATTGTAGGCAGGAAACCGAAGGTTTTTCACCGTTTCCTTTCAGCTGATGTTGTGGAAAAATGTTGATCACTGATTGAGAAGACGGGATCAAACAGAAACAGTTTCTACATCATCAGTAATTAATGTAATACAGATATGTGTGTTTTTTTTGGAATTTCTTCGAAAAAATCAAGCCGCTGGGGTGTGGGTCACAACGTGCCTGATGTTCTGATTACAGCCTGTTGGATTTTTGCTGGATGTTCAAGACTCTCTCAGAACTGGTCCAACGGAATATGCAAAGAAAACTCATACAAATTGATTGTGAAAAACACAGTGGCCTGTCAACATTTCCTTCAATCAATCCATATATGTTCAATGTTTTATACTCCAGGATTTTCTGACCACCACCGAACAAGGATTGTGATGATTACACTGCTATACTCCCAATCTACTTGCCATGTGTTGGGTCGCTTTCTTTGAGATCAACCAATTGATTTCATGTTCATCATTGTGTTCATATATGTGTGTTGGTGTTGGTGTTGTTGTTGGTGTTGTTGTTGTTGATGATGTTGATGTTGTTGTGGTAATGAAGACCAGTGATTGCTTGTCACATGGGTATGGATCAAAACTAGGTACCCAAAAATGGAGAGCTCCCCGACACATGTTCACAGCAAATCATTGGTTCAATCCATCTCAATCCATCATTTTGCTGATGAACGTGATTCGACCATATCAAAATCATCATTTTCATTTGACATCATTTAAGACTAGTTACCCTCTGGTAAACTAACATAACTATGGAAAATCACCATTTTCAATGGGACAATCCACTATAAATGGTCATTTTCAATAGCTACGTAACAAATTACCAGAGGGTAACATGATTCAACCACTATTCAACCGTGCTTTCTCAGAATCAGAATCGAAATCCCCGTGGATTTTTACCAGGTGATCCCATCCTTGCGTTCTGCGCAGGTTGCGAAGGCGTGCTACCCAAGATGGGCGAGTCGGAAGTGCTCAGTTGGGGCTATGACAGCTATGGCATGCTATGGCCTATTGAGTTCGATACAGTTTACCCGGCCTGGTCAACGTTTACATTTTGCGAACTGGAAAATCACCATGAAAATCACCATTGGTAAACTAACATAACTATGGAAAATATTGGGAAATAACCATGCTATTAATATGGGTAGTCATCAACTATTTCGACTGGGCCATGGCTTCAAGTTCGCAAACTGTAAACGTTTACCAGAGGCTATTGGTTTGTTCGAATCAATTTTAATTGCCCATATTGATAATAGCAGGTAAATATTTTGTAAATATTGAACTATTAACATTATAAAAATCATATGAATATATATATATATATATGATTATTTAATGGCGATTGCCCATATTGTCCATAGCTATGTTAAATGACCAGAAGGTATTTGATTTATTTCATCCGTATTCCGGTGAATCAATTTAGGTTGCACCCCAAAATTATCGAAAATTGTTTTCACAAAATTACCAATCATTTTCACCAAAATAATCACAATGATAAGATGCTTTGATCCCCTGAAAATGACCAAAATTATCCATTATCCAAAATTATCATTTTCAGGGGATCTTATCGCATCTTATCCGGCAGAGTTCTTGTCAAAGGTTCCCAGGAATTCCGCTGAAAAAAGGGTTGCGCAGATGATGACTGGCCGGGCCACTGAATGGGTTGCCATCAAATTGGTTTAGCCAAAAACTGGGTCATACCCCAATGGCTTGAAATAGTGGGCAAAACGATGACAATCCATGGGCATTTGTTGTTCTTCTTTTAAGTAACCCCCCCAAAAAAAATATCTCATAAGTTGATGTAGGATTCCTGGATACCGGACATTTCTGTTGAGGAATTATGAGTGACTTTGTTTGAGTTGTTTATGAGTTTATTGGTTATCATGAGGATCCATGATTTTAGGCAAACACTGTTGACAATTGTCTAGCAAATTTCACAAATTATAGCAATGAATTTGCACTGTAGCTGGTGGTACCACTGTTAGAGTTACAGTCTAGTTGTGTCTAGTTCTGTCTACAGTTTTAAGTTATCCAATAAAGGTGGCTAATCATACCATAAAAACTGTCTAAAATTTTGTGGCGATAAATCACCGCCTTGGCTGCCTGAAATCCCGATCGAGGTACGAACTAGGCACAGGCCCCTAAACATCTTTAGATGTTTATTAGTGTCTTATTAACAATCTAATGTGGTAAACCAACAATAAACCATCCCCTAAATCACCCTAAAATTTTACATCTACGGTATGTAACATATGTTATGTTTGGCATCCCCTTAAATGGTAGGTTTATTGTCTTGAAGCTTGGGGTGCGCACAATACATCCGTGGGGTCGCCGTCGGTGACTCGTACTGAGGCATGGCTTGCCACCACTGATGCCACGTACACCGCGGACACCGCGGCAGCTGGGAACTCAGGTGGCCAGAACTGCAGTCCTGGATGGATTGTTGCCATATTCTTGACATTTTTACACTTTTTCTGGGGTTATATAGATCTGGGTAAATTTCATCACGACCGCACGTCGCGACCAAAGCCTGGGAATAATGGTTAATAAGGGAAATCATCCCCTTTTATGGCCGAACTATTCAGGTTATTGAAATATTATAATTTATATACCCAGATAGATAGATTTACTGTGAATAGCACCGGAGCAACAAAACACGATTCCACATTTGTTATTGTATGTACTGTTGTTCTGCACTATTTGGGGTATTGAAAAAAACGGGTACAAATGGGTGAACAGATTCATACCTATCAATTAGTCGAAGACTGGGTGTGTTTGAACATTGGATTCTGCAACACCAACACCTCCACACTGGTGGTTCCTCCAAGTCCTAACTTTTCAATTTGTATGCAATCTTGTTCACACTTTCAATGACTCAAACTCTCACACTACATGCTTGTAGTCAAAGTCACAAATCCAATACAATTGTACGAAAACCCAATGTTAAAGATACACTGGTGATATGTGCAAGCTCTCAACTTGACACAAATATGAAGCGTAAACTTGGCCCTTCACATAATATCATAATACACAGTTGGATATGATATTATTGCATTTTATTACACCTATGGACACAGTCGCAGTTAGGACACCCAGTCATTCCCAATTTGCAGCTGGTTCTCGTGGACCAGCTCCGCCAAGGAACAGCTTGCCCTCACCGCGGCGGTGAGAACTGCAAATAACTAAGCATTTCAGGTTGGTGCATCATTTGAATATCCCCCAATGAAGATAGCTGATAGCTCTTGCATGCTCTTGCCACTTTTTTTTATTAAGGGCATTGGACAACGAGTTTCCTCTTGAAATTGGTGATTCTCAGGGTCTGTTCGGGGGGATGGCCCTGTGAAAGCCATCATTTTGGAGCCTCAACACCTCTCGTCGCACAATTCCACCGCAGTTTCACCGGCTGTTGGTGAAATTTCCTGCAGCCCGGGCAGTGGATGTTGAGATATGACATGCTTAAAGGGTGCCTTTGTATAGCATCCCCCCAAATTATTTAAAACAATCGAAAAGTAGTCCTGCTGTACTAAATGAGTGGCGAAATATATATTTGTCGATCCTTTTGGGGGCTACAATTGTGTTCGCCTCGATTTCTGTGAGTTTCCGAGGGAACTGTGCAAGTCTTATCGACCTCGCTGGCCGACAACCGTGCTTCTGATGGTTTATGTATTGGGAATCATCCCAAAAAACGGCATAAACATTCCGGGTTGGTGAATTATGGTGAAAGAATTTGTACTTGACTAGTCATGATGAGTCATGATCAACTACAGTTATTTACTTTATTATGATACTCAACTAATCATCATTTGATGAACTATAATCATTATTTATATGATTACAGTATATTCATTTACATATATATATAATTATATATATATATATATTCATATATATATATACAGTATATATATTCATATATATTCATATATACATATTCATAATATATATATATATATATATATTCTAATATATATATATATACATATATATTCATAATCAAGTAACCAGATGGGAAGAACTTAGGGCCCAACATCCACCGCTGCCGGAAACCAGAATTTCCTGCTGAATGCTCAGGGGTCCTTATGTTTTCCAATTTTCGGAGGTTTATCCAACATTTTCGGAGGTCTATCCACATGTTTGGAAGATTTTAATCAGCAAACATGTGGACTAGACATGATTATAGACTTATAGATATCACCTAAAATGGCATAGTGAAATCCCTTGAAAGAAAGATAGTCACACAGGAAACGTACGGATCTCTGTTCGTTGCGCGCTAGCTTTTCCGAGCTTTCAAAGGAGGCTCTGGCGATGAAAAGGTGGTCTCACACGACTTGAGTATGCCATCCGCTCCAAATCGCTCCAATATATGCCTGTAGGGTACTACTTAAAAGGATCGTTGAGAGGTTTCTATGCGCACAACAAACAAAAACATGGTGTAAATTCCCATTGATTCCGCAGCATCCATCCCTTGGGCAAAAAACCACGTTGCAGCCTCGGGACAGTGCTCGCGGGACTAAGGCTGCAATTGGCGCAATGCTTCAGTTGCGGCCAGGCCGAACCACATCCAGGGTTGAACCAAGGGCTGGGCTTAAAATAACGAGATACATCATGATACATCAACTTTTTATCAGATATCATGAAATATCAACATCAACATCCATGATATATCCAGCATATATATATATATATCAATATATATCTGTATGACTGGTGGTAGATCATGATATCTTTAGCCAGCATTGGACTGGTGTTTCCACTGGTACCAGGCCGTCCAGTGGATTTGCAGCATCGGCGGCGGGCTGATCGGATATTTTGCTGGGGCGACCAAGCTGTGCGGGTTGGGTGCCATGGTCAAAAAAATCTGCGGCAAACACCAAAGGCCCAAAGGTAGTTGGTAGATGTTGGTAGATGAATTATGGATGACCAAAGAATCCTGGGATTTTATCAGTGTTGATCCGCTAATATCTAAGTGGACTTGAGAATATTTGAGTTTGCATATGAATTGAATAATTTTGAACATTTGAAGCGTGTGGAGTGTGGACCCATGATGTAGCCACACCTTCTTGTGCCACTCTGTTTGAATTCACTAGATTTGGAGACGCCCCGTCCCTTGAGGACAAGCTGCTTGGTGGGGTTTACTGCTTTATCTTTAACCCAAGCCATTTATTATTCAGGATATTCATCATTCACCAAAAATGGATATCCAGAGATGCCAGAAATTGATGTTCTGTCTTGGTGCAGTTTTGGATTTCCAGTGGTGAGGGATTGATATCCCAACTATTCCAAGCTGATCTTCATATTCGACTGGGGGGATTCGACTGGCTCAGGCCACTTTTGAGGATGCACATCGATGGCGGCGGCAGGCCGACGGATGGCGGTCCCCATCTCAAAAAGACCATTCTTTCCTTAGCGGCCACAACAGGCCGACTTAAGGTTTCACTTTATCGATGTTAATTGCTTGGTGACTTACTGTTTGACTTCCTATTGATGATTTTTGGTTATTTTTGGATTCTTGGGTGATAAGCCGGAGTCTGAAAGGGAAAGGGATAAATAGTTGGACTGGACTGCACGGAAGTCTTCAAGCAGCCCATCTTCCATGCCAAGTTGAAACCGGGTCAGGGTCTACAGGCCGAGTCCTGGTTTGTTTTGCCAGGACACACATTCTGATTCAGACGATGATGATCCTTTCATTCAAGGTGTCGAAGCTGGTGGGACTCTGTGTTTTAAGGTTTTTTTTCCCCTCCTTTTTGGAGTCTTGCAACAAATAGAGGGGGAACTTGATGGAACGTGCGAGCATGTATGGAACACGTGTAGTGTTGACTTCAAACGTCCCCAGCTTTACAGTGAACGATGGTGAAAATAGAGGTTGTTGGATGTCTATAGGATTTTATTGAATTTTTGTGGACATTTATAGGTACAATGTGAGGCCCCCCAGTTATAAGTTGGTTTATAAGCCCCAGTAACTATAGTTATAAGTACCATAAACCATAGTTATTGGACTTATAAACCAATTTAGCTATCTTGGGGGCATCACATTAAATTGTATTTATGGCTCAAACCAATTTGTTTATTGTAACATAGTGCCGTTCCCAACGGCTGGTACCAGAACCCACCTTGCCATGCTGGGCGGTTTTGGCGACCCCGGCGACGTCCAGGTGTAGCCCCGGAGGATATCGAAGGTCACACCGTAGGTCCGTCAACAGCTGGGATTTGGTGATTTGGTGAGATGAGTTGATGCAAACTCAGAGATCTCTATGCAGATCGGCGAAGAAAATCAATCCCACTGCGAAATGGATCAGGGTGGGCATTTGGACCATTGTTGGAAGCGAAATGTAGGGGCCTTCTGTTGATTGGGAAGCACTGTGATGCAGGCTTTCTGTTTTCGTACTTGTTTCAAAGCTCATGGTGAGGCGGTAGGGTTAAAATTGGATAAGAACTTGGGGTTGGTGAACCCAAAATTCGGGCTCAAAAAAAACTGCCACCAACCACCGGGCTCCACCAGCCCTGTGCCCAGGTCATACTTTCCATGGTGCCAGGGATGCACAGGCATGGAAGCCAGCCATCCAAAAAAGGCATTTTTTTGACCCCTTTCCAGGATAGTTCAACTGTGAATGCGTCCAATGTTTCAAGGGTCACTAAAATTTGTCAAGTCCGGTGAGAAAAACTCATAAGTCGTGAATTTTTGGTGGCAACCCTTGTGCTTTTTTTTTGCACACTCTGGTTCACAATCACAAACCAAAGTTTCAGACACGCGGGAGACTCTGGTCGAGTTGGGAGGCGCTGATGTGGATAGCAGCCATGCCTGGTTGGTCCACTTTTCAATGTCCATCCCTGACTTAACGATCAGCAAAGACTTCCAAAACTGATGTTTCATGATCAGCAAAACTGATCAAAACTTCAGATGTCATGGCTACCGCCAGACGTCTTCAGAGCCCTGAAACGCCCTTGTGATGTCCAGGCGTCTGGCAATCCCGAGCACTTGAAGTGCATGGCTGGTGGAGCCCAGGGATAATGGAGATCATGGTTTCTATGCTGGGATTCTGCGTGGTTTCTCCATCAGGAAAATGGCAGATCTAGGCAGCAAAGTGACATAAAGTGACCTTTGCCCATGGAAATGGAAAAGTCATCACTCGATGTTTTTTTTTCTGTTTTCCATATGGATCTCGCGAATCGCAGCTTGTATCGAACTTTTCTTGCGGTGTCATCAAGGTTTGTATGGAGGAGTTTGCGGATGGCGAGACTTTGCTGGGAAACCCAGATTGTCCTTGACATCAAGTGCTGCATTGGCATTTGCACTTCATTGCTATTGAGCAGCTGCTGAATTAGTGGCAGTTGCCTCATGTTGCCTCCAGAGTCAGATCCAGAATCACCAAAATCGGACTTGTTTTCTCCTTTTGCTGCTCTCATATGTCATGTGCTCCATGATCAATGTAGAGAATATTTAGTATTTACACAATGTATTTACCACCATTTGCCCTAGAATCATCCAAATGTAGGCTAATGTAGGTATATATACGATTGTATTTATATATATATATATATGATATGCCGTGATATACCATACATGGAGCACATGGGGAGAACACCGTGAACACCACGTCCCAGGCGGAGTTTGCCTTGTCTACACAGGTCGCGGTTGTGAGTCGTTGACAGCAACTGGTAGGATCTAGTAGGGAAGTCTCAATTTAGAGGATCAACATGTCATGAACTCATGAACTTTGATATGAAAATTGCTGTTCCTCTGACCAACTTCCATGAAATATATGAATGAAATCATGAATGCAACCCAGAGATTTAAGTGAACGTGGGGATTTTTCACCTCGATTTGGCATGTCCAACTGGTAGCTGGGCCAGGTATCATCAGAACTGCATTGACCAATGGCTGGTTCGATGTGCAGCATGTCCCATTTGCAAGCAGATGCTTGGCAGCGACACTATGAAGTTTCTGCCAAGTCCCCTCTCAGCCCTTGCAGATATTGTAAGTTGGTCGGAACACGATACTCTCAGACCGGTGGGAATCCTTGCCGACTTCGCGGTAAGTAACATCACCCGCATCCACCACCATCAATTTGCTCAAGAACTGCAAGAGAATCAGCCACAAGGGCAGATTTGTGTATGCCAAATTCCCGCCATAACGTGAGTTTGTTTAAGGTGCACGCTCATGTTTCTTTTCCCGAGGGGGAACCCACCTTCTGGTGAATCTAATATAAGGATTTTTTTGGGGGGGATTGCCGGGGGGAGCGCCTGAAATGAACACCTCAGGAATATCACTGCGCCTCAAAATCTGTGATGCACTCAGAGGAATCTGGTAAATCTGGTACAGTAGCTGTGCATGAGGTATCAACTTGCAGTTTTTGCATCAGGTAGTCCATCTCGTTGAAACAAGAGCCGGCCCTATTGACTCAATGCGGAGCATTCACATGGCAGAGATTTGCACTGTTTGGGGAACTTATTTCATGATATGTCATTCATGTTCTATTAAAAACAAGATAAAAACGGGTGCAGTAATTCTTCATTTGGCTTTTGGAATCCTCATTTTTGTGTGATTTTCGTCACATCATCAAGACATGCTCTCGGGTATCGCTTGTCAGTTCGTCCCGAAATGTGGTGGAGAACGCATCGACCAATGGATTTGCTAGGCGTGGACGGCATTGAAAAAGGCAGTTTCATGCGGTTTGTGTTGTGGGTTGTCTAATTAAATCCCATTAAATCCCATTAAATCACTAATATTAAATCATATTAAATCAAGTTAATTCAAGTTAGTTCAAGTTTAAACATGGTTCCAAGTTCCAAGGGCTTCTCAACCAACGACCATTTGCACAAGTCCGTTGTAAAGGTATAGTAAAGAGAACCTGAAAGCAAGTGCAGGTTTTCCAATGGAAAGGCCACGAACATTTTTTCAGGGTCTTTTCCTTGATGTTGATTCTGCATCCGAGAAAACATTGACATGGGTGAGACCACTTCTCCCAAGAGAGAGCACTTTGTTTTTTGTTCCATTCGAAGGTTTTGATCATTGAAGATAATATAAATCAATATAAATCATATGTTTTCAATAATTTCTGGATTTTTTGAGGTTCAAAGGTTAGGGTTGCCGTCATTCGCCCATAGCCAGTTCTTCAGTGCCCGACCAGGTTCTTTCGAAGGCGGGCATGGTCATGAACACAGGACAGCTGTGGGGTAATTGAGAAACCTTGACGCATGTGAACCCCTGGGTCGTTGAATTGATGATTTTATGAGCAAATTGAATAGCTATCAAACACTGTTAAATCATGTTTTGAGAGTGAGGGCCGATTTTAGCAGCCAGGGTTTATGAATCTGGTTGACGTTACCCCAATTTTTTGGAAATTGATGATCAACCATGGGATGGAATGGGGTACTCCATTTTCAGACCTATGAACCTTGATAGGGTACGACGACAGCAATTTCACAAGGTTCAGAATGGGCAATTTCACAAGCAAAGGATGAAGAACACTTTGAAAACCGGGCCGGGGATACGGGAAAAGGTTGTTGGCTCGGTGTTGATGGAGAAAGAATTGAGCAAGAGGCTTGCGTTTCTATAGTTTTTGACATGCCTTTTTCTACCCCATAGGATCCATGTATGCTATATATGGTAACATTTACCATCAATATACCCCCAATGTTAGCATATATACCAGCACCATGGATCCTATGGGTACATGACTGGACATGTCATTGGGGGTAATTGAAGTGATCCAGAACCAGAGAGGTGACCTTGAACAGAGGATGGTGATGTTTTCATGTCCGGGCACAAGAAAGGGCACGCCCAAATTCCAAGGGAGTTCGATTGGCGGACACATTTTGAGCACACCTGGATTAGATGTAATATGATGTAATTACAGATGATCTCCTAGAGTCCTAGAGTGATGTCATCTTGCTGTGCTATGTGATGTTGCTTTCCATTTAAGGATGCCGTAGGGTCAGTTTCGGTTTGGTCATTGTGATGGAGTGTTTGTTCTTGGTCAATTGATGTCAACTTGATTTTCTCCGGGTTGAACGCGGATAAGTGGAAAGGGAATGAAAGGGAACCATCCCCAAAGTTACCATACATTGTAATACATGGGTTGCAGAAATCAGGTCGATTATTGGGTTTACGACGTGTGTGCTTGGTCTTTCAAGCTGTGCGATTGACCTCACATTTTTTGAAATTTATTTTTTCTACAGATAAAGAATGGGTGGGCCGGTGGGCCCCCAAATTCTGGAGATACTAAACGCAGAGATAGTAGCTGGCGCCTAGGGTTCCCAGCAACATCTGCAGGACCGTGTCACCACTCATCGATTTCAAAAGGACGTCCGCCACCAAAAAGTGGTGCCTTTGTCCTAACAGCATCGTGTCTCATCCTGAGGCCAGCAAAAAGAGCACGGAGAGGTAGGATCACCCCCTATGAGGATACACGTTCGTGGGCGTTTGTGAGGGTTTACCCAGTATAAATGAGATACACAGTTCTAAATGGTATAACCTAGCAATAAATGGTATGACAGTACAGCATAGCATGCATAGCCCCAGTTATAAATGGATTAACCCATGATAACCCCCTTGAAAGAGGACTTATGATCACCAGGTGATTTACCAGTTCCGAGATGTGGCCAGAGGTCAACATGTTCCAAACTCGAGTCGGATCGTTTTCTTGTTGTTTTCAAATAACTGATTCACACATCTGACTCAAGATTATTATATCATCATATATTATATCACATTATATCATATCATATTATATCATATTATGTTATATTATATCATATTATATTATATTACATTACACTATATTATATTATATTACTGTATATCATATTATATCATATTATATCATATTACATCATAATATTACATCATATTATATCATATTATATCATATTATATCATATTATATCATATTATATCATAAACATTTATGAATTTGGGAGTCTGATAATCTCCCATAGTGGATCCATTTCATGAAGCACCGCAGCCACGTACACGAGCTTGCCATCGCTGGCACTTCGAAGATTCACGCAACAGCAGCTGACTGCAGACATGCAACACATGCAACTTGGGTTTGTTCCAAGATGTCGGGAAACTCTAAAGTCCCATGGTTAATCATGGGTGATCACATGTTATCAACATTCTTAAGAAATGGAGCTGGCATTTGAGGGCATTACTTTGCCGCCAACATTGATCCTCTACAACGCTTTTTTTTGTCGCAGAAACCCTGCACAAATCCTTCAAAGACAGTCGGATACGGCGTCTTTATCCCCAGACAATGAACTGAAACAATTCTTGGATGTTTCCTGAAGAGCAGAACTCCACAACTTCAAACAACAACATTTTTTCATGACGCTGGCCGGTACTCGTTCATCACCGGTTCATCTCATTTCGCGATGTGGCAAAGATTCAATTCGCGATTCATAGGCAAACAGTGCGTTGCGTTGCTCAATTGGGCGCATTTCACCTAACGGTTTGTTTGCAGGCAAAGAGTTACCATCATTATATTCTGAGCAGTCATCTTGTGCCATCTCGCGCCAGTCAATGATGGTCATGTTAAAACATCAACCTATTACAGATGTTGGTACGAAATATATTGAAATATCTGATACTAGCATATACTGGCCATGGTCATGTTTCCAACTATCTGTGTTTGTTTATCTTTTAACATTCCCATCCATGGTCATCAAATTTTTATCCCATGAATAGCATGGAGTTTCCCCCACAACCGATTGTTCGATTCCAACAGGAAGCTGATCTCTTGAAAAAACACGACAGGAGCATGGCAACCGGGCAAGAGCCAGCGGTATGTGTGGCAAAGGAAGATTTCTACGTTGCAACATGACCAGCAGCCGTGGTTTCATCGCCCAAAACGCATCGCCCATAGCGGGTAAATTTCATCACGACCTCACGTCGCGACCGAGCCCTGGAATAATGCGGCTAGTAAGGGAAATCATCCCCTTTTATGGCCGAACTATTCAGGTTAGTGAAATATTATAATTTACCCAGATATACCCTCTGGTTATTTAACATAGCCATGGAACATGACCCATAGAAATAGATGGTTTACCTGGGTTTACCTATTAAAAAAATCAGTCTATGGATTGTATGATTTCATCTATCATACAGCTGGGATCAGTTGGATTTATTTGGATTTGAGACAGGAGAAGCAACCCCTTAGCCGCGAAGCCCAAGTGTTGGATTGTAGAGAAACAATGAGAAACATACAAATCTGGATGAATCAAAACAGCTTCACTGTGACGTCACTGGAATGATAGTCTGCAGTTTGACGTCCGCTGGGTGCTGGTGTAGCTCTAAATCTCGGTCACTAAGTCAAAATTATCAATTATATGCAATCATGATTTACACCACAAACATCGTCAGTCGCGATGACGATGACGATGACGATGACGATGACGATGACGATGACGATGATGATGATGATGATGGTGATGGTGATGGTGATGGTGATGGTGATGGTGATGGTGATGATGATGGTGATGGTGATGGTGATGGTGATGATGATGATGATGATGATGATGATGATGGTTGTGGTGATGGTGATGGTGATGATGATGGTGATGGTGATGATGATGATGATGATGCTGATGATGCTGATGATGCTGATGATGATGATGATGATGCTGATGGTGATGATGGTGATGATGGTGATGATGATGAATGGTGATGGTGATGGTGATGATGATGATGATGATGATGGTGATGGTGATGGTGATGATGCATGATGCATGATCACGCTATCATCACCTCCCAATCCCTTGACCTACCTGAGGTATAGCCGCCTGCAGTTGCCTCGACTGCGGCAGCATTCTCCTGTTCGAAGCCGAGGACGTTTGCTTAACGGGCTTGGCCATGTGGATTAACAGGGTGTGAGATGACCCCAAAATGGGAGGTTCAAGGTAAACCATGGGAAAGTGAAGACAAAACATGATAAACATGGATTTGTTTGATGTTTTTAGGGGTATCCCATTTTTGAACAAACCCAGGTGGTTCCCTATTTTGGCGTCTAAACTGTGGTGTGTTGGGCGTTTATTGATTTGATCATGGGGATTTCCTGAAGCAGTGTCAAATCTCCATTCTCAGATGACCACATCAACCAAGAAGTTTTTCATGGAACATCTATCCAAAACTTGGTTAATGGCTATCTGGATATGTTCCATTAAAACAAAATGGCTATCTTAATGGAACATCTATCCATCCAAAAAGTATCAGAAACCAGATAGCCTCAGTAGCCGGCGAGTTTTGTTGGGGCACCTTTACCCACATCACAGAAAGAACTTTGCAGGACGGCGCTTCGGTGCAACCCCAAGTGCTTCCTCCAAGTCGCAGGCGATCGTCGGGACCAGCAAAGAAACCGTTGGTCCATGGGGAATTTGAGGATTATATGGATTATACGGGCAAACAGAGGTTTGTACTACTCACTAATAATAATCCTCCAGTTACAAACCTATTTTAATGAACCTAGCCCTTGCATCTGGAGGTTTGTACTTGGTCTACGGTTTAGGGACGGATTGCTTCACGAGCTAGGAATCTCGCGGCGGACCAGTAAAGGGAGATGGTCGGTGGTTGTGGGTACCACGCAAGTGTTCAGCATTCTGAAAATATATTATAATATATAATTATATATATGTAATTATGTATATATATATATAGAATATATATATATATGGAAACCGCCCTCAAATGGACCTACCCCAAAGTCCATTGAGGGATATTGCTGCATATACATATATGTATATATTTTATATAATCAGTATATTAAATTGCCAAAAGGAAGACATTGGAAGGAAGACACAGAGTGCCCTGTGTATCCTCCATTTTTTTTTTTCGGGGGTTCAGCCACTCTTTCACCACCAGTTTCGGTGATGGTCTACACCACACAAAAGGAGGAAATCAAAGTATAAAGTATCAATATGTATAAATTATACTTTTGATACATATAATATATTGATGGTCTAGCACATATCAATAATGTATACATATATATAAAGTATCAATATATAAATCATTTTTTTCCCTGGCTAGACCACATTTTTGCATATTGATCGTGAAATCCTTAGGGAATGGCCATTCAAAAAATGCAGGTGCGGCCACCCTGGCATCGCTGGGAGGAGCCAGAAATCTGAAAAACCACACGACATGAATCTGAATGAATTAT